CCAAGACCTCTGCCTGGCCTTTAGGGTTCAGAAACTGCCTCCACCATTGAACTTAGTTTTTTTGTTTCTTTGTTTGTTTGGTTGATTTTATTTCCTAGAATGAAACTGCTGGTCTAAGGTAGGCAGTTCACTGTGTTTCACAAAGAGATTACTCAATCTCAGTGCCCGCCTGGTGTACTGGAAAGACTCCATAAATGGTGGCTATATCTATAAAAATCTTCTCCTAACATATTCTCATCTTTGCATTCCTATTACCTTAATAGTCAGCACTATACCTTTGGAATATATTCTCAGGTACTTTAGCTATTTCATTTTCTTAAATGAACTAAGTTCCTAGGGGACCAGAAATGATATCTTCTATTTTCTCTGTTTTCAAAAATGCCTGGCATATAGCTGTTCTATGAACAAATAATTAATACTGAACTTGCTGAACTTACTTTATTATGTCCTATTTTTGTGACTTTGTCTCCTTTCTATAACTGCCTCACATATAACAAATCATGGGGCTACAGTTTTCTAAACATTAATTGTCCAAAATCACAAAAGTCCATGTTTGAAGGCACTGGTCATCTTTTCAAGTATAGTTTGTGTTTTTTTTTTTTTTTTTTTTTTTTTTTTACACCTAATGAAGTTAACGATTACAGATATTAAATGATCTGCCAATTGAAAATTACAAAGCTATCTGGTAGCTTTGCCTTATCAAATAAAAACTGCTATTGTTGAATAAAATGAAAAATTAGGACTTAAACATGAAAATATCATCTGTTAAGACAGGTGTATATAATTTTTAAATGTCAGTAAAAATGTAATAATCCCACTAAGAAGAAAAAAAAGCCTTGCTTCCCCAGAGTTGAAAGTACTTTAGCAGAAATGAACTCATTTAATTTCACTGACTCCTTGGGAAAAACTTTGGAGAGCATATTAACTCTATGTTATAAATAGAGATTCTGTCCAGAGAGTTGAAGTGAAAGGACTAATGACTGTTCGCTATAATCAGTGGTTAAAACTCTAATCCCCTCATGATGAAGCCATATCTGTCCTTTGGACAATATTTCAGATTTATAAACAGCCTGATATAAAATAGTTTTTAGGTTTAACAAACTGCATTAACATCTTCCAAAACAGTTTTGAAAATGGTCAGAAGAACAGTTTTAAGAATGAAAGCAAGGAGGAAAGTCTGGACAATCTCACATTTAAATGATCTTATTTCACTGAACCATATGACTACATATAGCATCAGAGGGTAAAAACTGGAATCCTTCTTTCCTCATCTTTCCATAATCTGGAATAGTAACTGTTTATTTCCTCAGGATCAATTTTAAATTACTATAGAGTCAAGAGGAATATAAAAGATGAGAACCATCACTCAAATTCCCACACAGTCCCCAAGGGCAAGTCTAAGTAACTAGCAAACCTCTCCTCTGAGAAGCGTTTAACTGTTATATGGTTAATCCATTTGGAACACCTTGTTTGCAATGAAGAAACAAAAGAGATTTGCTGTAAAATCTTCTACTTCTACTCCCAAGAAGACAACAGTGGATTAGGTGACCAGAGAGACTACTTGGAAACTTCCAGGCTTGTGGTATTTCTGAGTCATGTCTTCAGTAAGGGATAAAGCTGATTCTGAATGCTGTGGCTCATGCTTCAGCAGTGTTTTGCTCTAGACAAATAGGTCATATGGAAACTATGAACTAGCTTCACTGACAGGACCATGATGAGCCAGTACAGCGTTTTTATGTTTTTTGTTCTATTCAAAGGGTCTAGTGGATAATATATTATCATAAGATCTGGTCTATTATGTGTCATTGTTTAAATTCTAAGTAGTTACTACTTTTAATGGCATAGATATTTTTAATATGGGAAGTTTTTCCTTTATTTTTTTTTTTTTAAGAAAAATACGCTTTCATTTAACAAAAAAAACCAGAACTATTTTGGACATTAAATATACTATAATTCTTCCTTTAAGGTACTAATTTACTTTGATGTACCAATGAGATCATGGTCCAAAAAGAAAGAAAAAGCCAGGCATGGTGCATGCCTGTAATTCTAGTACTCTGGAGGCTGAGGCAGGAGGAGCTCTACAAGTTTGAGGCCAGCCTGGGCTACACAGTGAGACCTTGTCTCAAAACAAACAAAATAAAAACAAAAATAAGCACCATAAAAAGGGGGATGACACTGTCAAAATCATAGACATTAAAGATTTTCTTTTTAAAAAGATTCAATAATTATTTACAACATTTTCCTAAAATATTATAAATATAAAAAACAGAACAGAAGGAAGAAAAGAGAGACAGAAGGAAAAGAAAAAATAAAAGAAAAGAAGAGAGAAAAGAAAGAGAGGGAAAGACGAAAGGTGCAGTTTTCTGAGAACTAGAAGGCAACAATGATCCACGAGATGATTCATTTCTGGGATGCAGAGTATTCACGGTTTCCCATTTTAACACTTTTTAGAGAAGTAAAAAATAAAAACTTTTTTAAGAAACAAGTACTTTTTTCTGGATTTGGCTTAAAATTTAATGAGAAACCATGTGGGTGAAGAAAGATTGCAGTTGTTGGCACAAAACCAAAAAAGAACAAATGAACAGCATTTAGGTGCATGCTACATGTAGGCCGTGGGAGGGCTACAGAGTAGCTGAAATTAATACGTGGAAAGTAAGTGCACCGGTTCCTTAGAGGTATTCAGAAACTATCATATGTACTCGCTCAGCCCATAAATCTCCGCAAAGGCTATGATGAAAAATGATCGTATTTCACTATTAAAATTAAAATATAGTAGTCTCAGATGTTTTTCTAGGGAAATAAAAACATGAAACATAGATAATATGGGTACAACTGTTTTAAAGGGGAAGAATTTAAAGACCTATAATGTAAATGTTTTTCAAGGAGATTTATTGAAACACAATTACATTGTATGCCTAAGATTAGGGAAAAATAACCAGATTTCTCCATATAATAAATGAACCCCATATTTTACAGATTATAACTCTTGGCTTGTTGTATTTTTCATTTTGATCCCAGAAAATCCCAGAGGAAACTATAAAACGTGTTCATCCCAGTTCCATATGATCAATTTGGGGCTGCCTGCTTTGTGCTGTAGTCATTGCATGTCAGCAGAACTGAAGACTAAAACAGACAGATTTTTATTTTGACGTAGGCATATAGATTTGAATCATTTTAATGATCAAAAAATGAATCTCTAAAATTATATTTTTTTTTAGAAATAAACATAGGTAGCCAGGTGAGAAATTCAGATCTGAAAGGAATAATTTTTTTCTGCATATTGTTTCTTTTTTATCTTGCCTTTAGGTTTATATAAGACTGATTTATAACTGTTCCCTGTCTCCATGAAAGAGACTTTCAGTAATTGAGATTACAATTCCACACTTCCAGTTCCTTGCCTTTTAGTTAGTCTAACAGGCTCTATTTGCTTTTGTAAACTGTCTGTCTTCATTGATAAAACCAGCTGAACAGCCACCACCACATGTCCTCTCTTGGCACTGCCTCTCTTCTTTTAAGTAAAGAGCTTCTAAGGGCAATAAAGGAGCAGTTTGGGAAAAGATTTGTTCCCAGTCACCGGGCCCCATGAGACACAGTACAGACAAACCGTTTCAGGACAGCTCAAGGGGCAGCAAAAACACTGCCTACCCACTGGCATGCTGGCTGTCTGTTAGATTTTAAAACATACGTCTTTTAAAATGTACTTCATTACTAATAAATATAATTAAGGCTTTTAAAAAAATTGGTAAAATCTTTATACACTGCTTATATAACATAAAGGAAAATGGCCTTGTTAAATATGTTTTGTGCCTTTCTCATTTTGCCAGTTGTTTTTTTAGGTCAACTCCCTGCCTGACCTTTAAATCACGTTCTAGGGCAAGAAAAAGATTTTAAAGTTTTCTTCCTTTAAGACAGTCTCTGCTACTTTTAGAACAATGTATTCCTTGCATGTTTCCAATTATGGACGGCCTGTAAAATGTGTTAGATGTTCTACATTACATTTTTTTAAGAAATTGGTTTTAAAATATCTTTCTTTGGGGACATAGCCATTGGTACACAGCAACATAAATGTTTATTTTCATTATTTCACTAAGATATAAAATATCTTTTACTAATATCAGATAATGAGTCCACATACCCCACATCCAGAATAAATATTAATAGGAGACTAAAAATGCATGCCACAATAAACATGTATTTTAATGAGTCCTATTAATTTTTACCATAAAGTTTAAACATTTAATGTGCTAATAGTAGCACTGTTGTGTGCTACTTGAAGAAATAGGATAAATTTGGTATTTCTTAAAGGTGAGTCAACTCCTCTAACTCATTGGAAAAAAAGAGCCCAGTCTAGATCTATCTAAAGTGATAGCAGTGTATGAAGGAATATTGCCCACTACAGAGAACAGTGTTACACACAAGAAATGCATTTTGGAACATATGCAAATTGCTTTTTTCCCCACTAGTAATTTCAACCTGAAATTCATGTTGACAAGTACTTATGGAACAATAGGTAATCACAAAGGTGACGACGGATGTCTGAATATGGAATCTTCTGCCATTTTGCTTCTTTATGTTCTCTAATTCATTTTGAACTTGAACATTGGGGTTAGGGAGAAACATTAGCTTTTAGTGCAATTAATCCATTGACATGGAGAATATGGATATGAAGATTATAGCCCTCCATGATATTTGCATATGTCTTCTGAGTGATAATAAGAAAACCACAAAGAAAATAACATTATAAATATGAAGGTAAAAATAAAATCCAAACACAAAAGATAAAAACCCCACACACACTGAAAAGAGAAAAACAATTCTGGATACAACAGAGGAGGTGACAAATGGCATAAACTTTTTAAAACACTCTACAAATAAAACAGCATTACTCAACAGGATGCAATGGAATTGGAAAAAGAAGCAACGATCCACATGATGAGACACAGAATCAGCCGGAAGAAGCAGTTATGGATATAAGCCAGGGAGGGGATTTCTTTTCTTACTTGCACAAGTATCTTGAGGGGTTTGAAAGGTCTTTCACCATGAAACACTCGCCACCATTCACACAGAACGTTTTCTCCTTCTCTGCACACTTCACAAGATGGCTCGTCCCAGTGGTGGATGTAGATGTAGCTGCATAGGAGATAAGGAAGAGGAAATGTTCACATCTACATTCGTTTAAAAGCAAGAGTTCATATAAGGTACAGCCAACTTGCCTGAAGTTTCAGATCACAAACAGCAGCAAAGAAACTATTTTGTGGTCGTAATACATAGAACACAATTAACTAACAGAACACGATTAGTAGAACACAGGTAATTACAGAATACATTAATTTAATTCCAACTAAATAGGAAAGGGGACTCAAAATTTTTTTTTTTTTTTTGGTTTTTCTCCGGTACCGGGAACCGAACTCACGACCTTGCACTTGCCAGGCAGGCGCTTTGCCACTGAGCTAAATCCCCAGCCCCTCAAAATTTTTATAATCATTGTTTTTATCTTTTAAAGTAGCTGCAAAAAAGAAGCTCTCCTGTCACTAGGCACAATCCATTTTAAGGATGGTTCAAAGGTAATGGTGTCAAGTTATGTTGATGAAGCTCCATAAAATATTTTTTTTTGGAAATTATGTTTCATGTGTATGTTGTGTTTTTCTCTTTTTGCAATACTGGGGATTGAAAACAGTCTTTGTGCCTACTAAGCAAGCCCTCCACTACTGAGCAACCTCTCCAGTGCCAACTACATCTTTAAGACAATGTATAGTCAAAAAACAAAACCAAAAACAAAACACACAAGGATACAAGATAGTACATATGCTCCAAATGAGAAAATATATACAGTTAATTGAACATACATTGACACAGAAGTCAGAAGTCATTTACTTTACAATTTCTATTTTACTCTAATTCTTCTACTCTGAGGGTCATTGTTTAATACCTGACTGACAAACTTCTTTTGGGAAATGAAAAGACACTCTAATACTGTATCTTAACAAATGCAGGATAAAGCACTACAAAATTTATCTATCTGGAACTAGGAGCATAGAAACAAGCCTCAGTTTTGGCGTCCAATATCTTCATGTGATAACCTGACATTCATTTGTCAGCCTTCACAGTCACATGGAAGTGAAGTTGACGATGATATTAATTGTACAGATTAAATGAAGCCAAGCTCGGCTCTCAGGCTCAAAGGGCTTTCAGTATCAGGACTACCTCTCGTCACTTGCATTGCTGGTAATGCTATGGGCAGTGCTCAGTCTCAACCAGAAAAAGTCAATTTATATAGTGTTGATACTGATACTGTCAGGATGAGAAGCAGAACCAACATCAAGGCAATGAAGATTCTATTTATTTTTTCAGGAAAATATATCCACCTTGAGGCATATTTTTTTTTCCTTCTTTTCTGATATACTCCTGCAGATTTTTAAAGTCTTGTCTTCCTTATCAATTTCTGTTTTATTATTTGCATGTAAATTTTGGATGTTCTTGTTGACTTGACCTATATGTGCCATTTTCCCCTTGTTATTTTGCCTTTTTTTCTTTTTTTTGGGGTACTGCGACTTGAACTCATAACCTTGGGCTTGCCAGGCAGGCACTGTGCAGGTGCAGCTGAGCCATATTCCCAGCCCTGCCTTTCTTTTTATTTCCTTCAAAAGTTCACATTTTCTTGTAATTTTTAACCCAATTTCTGCTACTTTTCTTGATTTTCATTCTACTGGAATGGAATAGTCAACATCTGGTTATTCAGTTTCTTAATTGCTTTCTTGTTTCTTGGGATCCTGTCTAAGACATGTGCAAGTACCATTTCACTGCTCTTAGCATAGCATTTGGGAGTAGCAGCTAAGATCAGTCCAAAAGACCTGGACTCTGCCGACAGATCTGGTTCAAATCTCTTTCCCTACGAGCTTTGTGTCATGAACCACCTCGCTGCTCAATGTTCCCATTTAATAAACAGGAATAAAAGACATCTGAGAAGATTTTTTTATGGGGACCATAGATAATCTCGGTAAAGAAATTGGTAAAAAATGTCATTCAGTGAATAGTACCAAGTATAAATGGGAAAGAAGGGAAGAATCTTAAGATACATGCTATTCTTGAATCAATTAACAACTGGGTCACTTTTTTTTCTTGTGAAGTTGGGGATTGAACATGTTAGATAAGCACTCAACTACTAAGCTGGAACCCCAGCCTTGGTCAATTTTTTAATAAGTTCAACAAAATTTCCTTTTCAAAATGCCTTTCAAGGTTTCCTTTATAGGTCTGCAAACCAAACAAAGGAATGAATGGAGCACGAGGAGAGGTGATTTTACTATTTTTTATCAGCTCTAATGGATGGAAAAATCAGTTTAACATGTTTATCAGAATGAAAGAAATGTAACATGCATCTTTTGGTCTGCAAAAGCATAGAGTGGACACTATTCCTATATTTCACATGGCATATAATTTAAACACATCTTCATGTGAAAGACTTCATATGTAGGTGCTATATGTTACTGTCTTCATCCATGGCAGTGCTTGTAAAAGATATTAGAAAGACAGTTGCCTGAACTGTGAAAGGTTTTGTGCTTAAGACTGAACTGCTGACAGCATTCCATGCAATGACAAATTCGGCTGGGTATCCTTTCTACCCCTGTGACAGCACCGAAGGGACCACATGCAGCGTGCTGTCTCCATGCTCCTGCAGAGAATGCTGAACCACGCACACACCCCAGTGCTGTCTGAATCCATGACAGGTCGCTAAGGATCTCTCCTCACCCAGCTGAGCAGGAGACATGGCACAAGCCTCCCAGAACAAATCCTGAGCCTTTTACAGAAAGCAGAACTAGCACCCCACCACAAATGCATACACTCCACATACATGGTAAACTGCTCACAAAAATTGGCCATGAGACAAAAAACAGATATCCTGCTCCCTTAGATGTGTTCTCTTGTGTGATTATCAGAACAACTAAGAATAATAAATACATATTAAAATTAGAAATAACTTTTCTTTTGCACCTTAAAAATATTTCTCCCTGAAGTGAGTATTCTTTTGTAATGCTATCCCAAAGCACCTAGAGTGAACATACTCTACTGAAAAATTCTTAGATTACTACTTTAAAGTAGCAGTGGGACATTTAATAGTAAAATATTCATTAGAAGGGCAATGAAGTAGCATCTATCTCACACAACCATGGACTATTGTACTTAGTATTTTTATATTTTAACAGTGATAATGTAAAGAAAAAGTCATGAGTTTTAACACAGCAATTAACTCCCAGGTGAAGCAAAGTGTGAACTGACTGGATACAGCTGCTCAGAACCTATAGCCAAGCACAGACTAAGCTGTAACTGTCAGAAGTCCAGCTAGAGGTGGTGCCACACACACTCTTCAGGTGCTCGCCAGTTTCCTTTTCCTCTCCTCAGTTGAACACAGTGTGCTGTCAGGCCTAAGCAAGTCTATCAAATTTGCAATGAAAGCCTTTCTCTTTGGCTTACACACACTGTATCGCCAACTCAGTTTCCATTTAGTAATTCAGCCAGAAAACAATGAAACAGACAAAGCAGGCCCTCCACCAACTGTGGAAATACTATTCTTTCTAGGGGAGCTGAGAGGAGTTTATTAGAAGCAAAGCTGAAGATTTTGCAGGTAGAATGTATTTCCATACATAAAAGATGCCCCCTTGTAACCCCACAGGTTATTCCAGGAGAAAATGAAATAGATTTCACTCATTCAGGGCTTGGTAAACACTGTCTCCTTCAGCTTTGTGATCCCACAATTTGGGTCTTATCTGCTTATAAATGGAAATTAAGAACACTGCTAAATATGACTCCACTATTCTTATGTTTGACATTTATATGAATGTTTCATTTTAAACACATTTTCCTTGGTAAGTTAGCAACTATAGTCCTGTAAGGGAAAAAAGGATAAATAAAAGTATAGCTTAATACCAGGGAATACATGTCAGAGTGTTTTACTCCCGAGCTGGTCCGTCTTGGCAATACAGTTCAGGACCAGTGATCGTCCTTCAAGGGGCTGGCTAGCTCTCTCACCTAACCAGTGATACAGAGACTAAGATCACCATTATTGTGCCTAAAACTCCTTTGCCACACACTGGGACTCCTGCCTTCTCTTCTTTCCTCCTTCTTGCTTCTCTTTCTAGCTTGCATCCCTCCCTGACTCCTTTCCTTCTTCCTTTCCTTCATCCCTCCTTTTCTGCTTCCTTCCATTCTTTACTCATTGTCCATTATGTGCAAGAAATAATGGTAACCACTGAAGTTACTGGAGTTCAACATTTTAAGACCACTCCAACTCTCCCTAAAAAGAAACCTTCTTAGGTAAGATGTAGTAAGATGAACAGGAATCTTGAGAAGAATCAAGTCTGAGTCCCCAGGGTGCCAATTACCAGCCATGGGATTCCTACCTGGTGACCAGCCTCAGAGAATTCAGCAGTGACAATGAGATTCGGGCATATTGTGAAGTTTGTTAAAATGGCTTTATCTTACCCAAAACTGCATACTGCTGCATGATATTGTAATTATCATTACTTTCATAAATACTGGACAAAGAAAAGCAAAGAAGTTATCTGTCCACACTCTGGTATTTTACAAAATCAAACCTCATGTTATTTCTTAGGAAATTCTTCAAAACATGCAGAGAGATGGCCTAGTTTTGAAGGGGAATACTGGAATAATTGTAAAGCATTAAGTAAATATCAGTAGTATAGCTGAACTTCATTGTAATTGCTTGGCAATAATTTATAACCACTAAATTATAATGTAACAGCATAAAATGATATTAAGAAAAATTCTGAGTAAACAGCTAGAAAGCATGTATCTTGAACACATGATTATTTCTACTTTCAAGATCTAAATAATTCTGTAATATTTCTGAGTAAATTTTCAAGTTATATGAATTAAATGTACTTACTGTATTGGATGCAATTATATAAAACATGTCCATATTATTACATAGAACATAATATAAGCTTGCTTATAAGGTAAAATTCTGGAAATCCTACCATTATATATTTTTGTAAAGATATAGTATGAAAATTTAATAATTTGTTTTCTGCTTATCACTAAATACTTCCCCCTGGGACAACATTTCTCTATACACTATTTCCTATAGCTTGTGGGGATTCCTTCTCCTCTCTTCT